ATGAAGGCGACAGTGGAAAGGAAAAACTCCCTCATGTGGAAGAAACCTTTAGCAGAACAAGGCTCAGGACAAGCGGCCATCTGCTTCGACCGGCTGGGTTTGAGAGGAACTGGAAGGGGGAACAGATACACAATGGCAGGTCGAGAATCACATGTTAAGATAGAAATAGTATCAAATGAAAACTATTCGATTGTAACAATTGATTTTAAGAAATGAGGTCAGTTTGTCCTCTAGTAGTCTAAGCCTATAGCAGCATAACAAGCTTCTAACTATACTAATTATAGGATTTATCAAAAAGGAAAGTCTTAAGCCCAGTCTTAAAACTGGACAATGTGTCAGCCTTACAGACAGAAACTGGAAGTTGTTTCCACAAGAGAGGAGCCTGATAACTGAAAGATCTTCATCCCATTCTACTTTTGGCAGCTCTAGGAACCACAAGTAAGCCTGCAGTCTGAGAGCGAAGTGCTCTGTTAGGAGGAAAATATAGGACAATAAGATCTACAATATAAGATGGAGGTTGTTAAGCGCTTTGCAAGTTGTAAGTAAGATTTTGAATTCTATTCTGAATTTGACTGGGAATGGAGAGAAGCTATATGAATGAAGTGAAATCACTTCACCACTTGCTCTTGCCGAGATCGGACACTTTTCCCTTCCCCTCCCTCTCTGCTTTGCTTTGCTGCTCTGTCTGTCTGTGAAACTGCTTCTGAGCCTCTCTTGCATATCTTCCCAACCATAATTATGGACTTGTTTTGAGCAGTTGGTCCCTCAACACAATTGATAACATTTCTTCGAAGAGAAGACAGGCTTTAGGCGAGCCAATTTGCCCTGTTGGCACGCATGCAGCTGGATATCTCATTGACTTGAAGATTTGATGATGTGTCTATCTCTGATGCCATTTGTGGATTTTAAGGACATACATTTAATTGGATTTATGATAACTGGTTCCTGTTTTTTGGATTTGCTGGTTTCTGGTTTTATCAACAATCAAGGAAGTCGTCGGCAGCAAATTTGGACCCGATCACGCTTCTTGCCTTTATGATGGCTTGGGTCGTGCCTTGAGTACCCAGACTCAATTGCTTTGGGCAGAATGGATCAGATCTTGGGGATTTTACGCAGTCACGTTCCATCGGTGTGGTCATGTAA